GGAATACAAGGTTTCAGGACAGGATGCTGCTGTGAACCATGGCAGCCAAGCCCCTCCCCCTCCCCAAAGTACAGTCAAGCATCCCACAGACTCTTGCACAGATGACTTACCCAGTTTTTAGGGCAAACATACTTGAGCAGAGTGATACTGGCAAATGAAATCCACTCAGGAGTACTCAAGAGAAGAGGGCAGGGGGAACGTCCATTAACTTTGGAAAGAAGTAGTTTAGTGTATCTTCTTTAGAGGGGTTTTGGTCACTGTTCAAAGACTCGGGTCTAGTGTAGAAAGTGGGCCTCCTCCCAAGGTTGCACAACTCCAGCATCACCTGCCAAACCCCAAACAGAAGTCCGGGGAACCTTCCAGCATTCAGACTGGTCACGTCCCCATCCGGCAACACGGCATCCAACGGCCCAGTAAGCACCCCTGCTTAACACAATCGCTGACTCCTCTGGAGTTTCTCAGGCTCGGAGTGGAGAGGGAATTCAGCCACTGCTGTGGGGCTGGGGTACCACCACGACGGTGGCATTCTTAGAATCAAAGGACAACGGTATGTGGACGGACAGGAAGAAAAAGTCCTGTGGGCGTTTGGGGTCAACATGACCTACCCCACATCAGCTTATTGCCATTTCAGTTGTAACACTTGCATGATTCTTTACAAAAGATGGAAAGGATGCAGATCAAGGAACTCAGCTTTCCTATCTGTTTGTTTGTTTTTAAACTGAACCGGGAAACCACCCCTACGAGGAATTCTTCTAAAAGCTCAAAATGGGACTAGTCTCCTGTCCAACACCCCTCGGCCAGCGGCCGCATCAACATTTGGCAAAAAATGTTTTAAGACTCCTTGTTTGGAAACAAGTTACCATCTCTAGTCTACGGAAACCGATTCAAGGGTTCAGCACACTTGCAACCACTTTGCAGGAACTTCCACTACACAATCTGCCCCTTCCCCACCTTGCACAGATACCTGTCAAGCACAGAATATCAACAAATATTCCAATTAGTGTTTTCTGTCTCTTACTGATGCTATGCTTCCACAAGTCCTAGGAAACTGCAGACGGTGCGTTTTTAAAAGAAATCCGTGACACACATAAAGATGCCCCCTTCCGTCTCATTTGCCATCCTCCCCATCTGCAGCTGCTGTCAGACAGATCAAAGCTTCACTCTCTCTCTAAGGACGCAGAAGAGCAACAAGGGCCAATGCGTTTTGGCAAAAAAATCTGCAAACACTGATGGTTGGAGGAAAAAATAATAATAACAAAAGCAACACCGATCGGCTCTTTTCGGAGCACAAAAGAGAAAGGCTTTGTTACATACCTGCTCGGCTTCCAGATGCTAGAAACTGTCCCACTCAGAGGCATTTTAACAAATGGGTCAAATCTTGCCCCCTTTTAAAAAAGAAGATTCAACCCTTCTTCCCAACCTTTCCACACACCCTTTGAAGCCATTTAAGACCCAAATTAGGCCCTTTTTTACACCGTACACATATATTATATTACAGATAAAGCGTATAAAAAAAATGGGGTGCGGAAGGGAGATGCTCTCTTTGAGGGGACCAGAGCCAGCGCTGCATCTAAAGCAAGCAAGGATGACAAAGTTGCAAGCTATTGGCTGCTGCCTCGGCACACACAAGGACAGATTTTAACAGTCCGCTTGCCGAAGGCATCGGGGCTGCCCCCCGGAAGGTTCGAGAACACGGTATGAACCCAACAGCTCTCTGCTACGCAACAACACCGTAGCCAATCTGGCGCAGGTGCCCACCTCATTTCGACAAGTAAGCCCCAGAACGCTGTGGGCCTCTTTCGCAGTCTGTAGGTTTGGTGGAAACAAAACAGCGCCACTTGACTTTCGGCTGAGGAGGCAGCCTCAAAAGTCCATTCTTAAAAGACACAGACGCTCGCCCCGTGGAGTCTCTTCCGAAAGTTTTTTTTTTAAAAAAAGCTGGAGGGAGGGACGAGTGCACCATGGCACAGCTTAGGGCCGACACGGCTCTACTCCATCGGGCCCAAGGGAGCTGCTGAAGCCAAGGAGGACAGGCTGGGCGGCGGCTCGGCTGAAGCTCGGAAAGAAAGCGCGGCGGGTTCCTAGAGCGCGGCTGTTCTCTAAGGCAGTGCTTCAGGTGAATCGAGGAGGATAAGGCGGTGACCGAGGCCCGCGGGTTGGTTTCCTGGTACCGAAGAGACGGGGGAGTCTGGTATCCCAAGAAGCGTCCCACTGGATTCCGGAGGCCGCGGGTCACGTGGCCACGGCTTCCAGGTAACTCTGCAGCTTGCGGACTGTGGTCTCGTCCAGGGAGAAGAGGTCAAAGTCAAAGGTCGTGTTAGTGACGTTGAAGTGTCCCGTCTCCTCGATGAGGTTGACAATCTGGGAAGGAGGAGAAAGGGAAGGGAGAGAATGACAGAGGCCTGCGCCTGCCTCATTCCAACCCAGAGAGTCTGAAACCTGCCCCTCCCCGGTTAACACGCTTTGCAAATCCCCCTTTTCTAGCCCCTGTGCCACAGTGCATATGCTGGACGCCTGAGGGGCAGGGATGTTGCACTTGAAGACTAAATGGAACCTCCATGTTCAGAGGCGGCACCCTCAGAATACCAGCCTTATGTACATGCATACGATCAAGTTGTAACTGACTCATGGCGACCCCAGCAAAGGGCTTTCGAGGCAAGTGAGCGGCAGAGGTGGGTTTTGCCAGTGTCTTCCTCTGCAGAGCCTTCCTTGGTGGTCCCCCATCCAAGTACTGACCCTACTTAGCATCCAAGATCAGGCGATGCCCTCCCCGTGGTACCAGCTGAGGGGGAGGGAGGGGCAAACAGCAGGGAAGGGTTGTTGCCTTTGTGCCCTGCCCTCAGGCCTCCTAGAAGCACTGCATGTGTCAGCTAGCTGCCATTTATGTGTAGTCTACCCTTCCCTGTTCCCGCTTGCTTGCAGCACAGCAGCTTGCCGTAAACATGCCAGGGAGGCCGTGGGAACTAGACGCCGTTATCAGTCTGGCCTTGTGAAGTAGGGAGGGCTTGGGGTCCACATTTGGTGTGAATTTTTCTGCTCTCAGGAAACCCTGCGACTCTCCTGCTCATTATGTAATCTCCCACCGGGAGTCTTCCCGCGTGCGCGCTCGAAGTTCATTTGCTTAGCCAATTGCCTTGCCCAGCTATATGTATTGGGATGTTCCCGCCTTCTAGTTATTCCTAACAATAATCCTGTGGACATGGTACCAGTCTTGTACACTAATAAAGCATAACGCTTCTTAGGAAACGTGTGTGAAGAGTGACTTGCTGTGGAACCTGACAGCATGGACTGCTGCAGGGAAGAGGACGCTATGCTATTCGGCCCTCTGATCTGACGAATGGAGGGCAACTTGCTTGGGAGCCATTTTTAGAAATGGAAAAGGTGGCAGAGCGAGGCCATCAGCAGAGTGGCAATACGAGGCACATCACACGCTCCCTTGCTCTTTAGGGAAAGCACAAAAAAACATCCACACACAGGAGGGATCGCAGTTACCCTTACAGGAAATACAACCAACGAACACTGTGATGTGATGGCTAAGGCATTTGGTAAATCTTTGCACGTTAAACATCGTAGTACATTGTAAATAAATAAATCCTTATAATATTGCAAGGGAAAGTCCACCCATCTCAGTGAGCACCCGGGTATAGGCCTCGTTTCGTCCCAGTCTTGCTCAGGAGAAGTCCTATTATCTTCAAAGGCCTCTTGATACAGCTCAGTGTTATGTTGGGAGCCAGCCAGTCCTCAACGTCTTCTCCACACAGAGGCAGAAGCCTGCTGAGTTAGGCTGGCAAACTGCTCTCTGCCAGCCTAATTCCGTTTGCCAGCCTAACTCAGCAGGCTTCTGCCTCTGTGTGGAGAAGACGTTGAGGACTGGCTTGCTCCCAACATAACTGTGAGCTGTATCAAGAGGCTGAAGGTAATGGGATTACTCCTGAGCAAGACTGGGACGAAACGAGGCCTATATCCGGGTGCTCACTGAGATGGATGGACTTTTCCTTGTAATATTATAAGGATTTATTTATCTGTAATGTAATACAATGTTTAACATGCAAAGATTCACTAAATGTCTTAGACATCACATCACAGCGTTTGTTTGGTTGTATTTCCTTTAGGAAAAGCACAGTATAAAAGAAGAAGAGATTGGATTTATATCCTGCCCTTCACTACCCGAAGGAGTCTCAGAGTGGCTTACAAACTTCCCCTCCCCACAACAGACACCCTGTGAGGTAGGTGGGGCTGAGAGAGCTCTTGACAGACTCTGCTGTTTTTTCAAGGACAGCTCTTATCAGACCTACAGCTTGCCCAAGGTCATCCAGCCAGGTGTAAGAGGAGGAGTGGGGGAATCAAACCCGGTTCTCCCAGATTAGAGTCCGCGCACTTAACCACGACCCCACACTGGGCATTCTTCCTTGGCACCGGGTTAGTTTTAAACTAGTGCCGAAACAACGGATCTGAAGGGTAACAACCTGGCCAGGTGTAGGCAAAATTCATTGACAGTCATGTCCCTCAGAAGAAGCCAAACGTGGGTTTTGTGAATCTGGGCGCCGGTCAACATCACTCAGCTGCAGTATTTTGGATGCCAGAGCTCTGCTTGGTTTTGACTTGAGACAGACACACACACACACACCAATACCTGCTGTAGTACGTTCCGTTCTCGTAGCGCCATCAGCCTCCGGTGAAGCTCCACTAACTCATCGGTGTAGGCCTTGGAGGGGAAGGAAGCAGGAAGGGGAGATAAAGGTTTTCAGTGTGGCCAATCCTAGATCTGGCCCTTGGGCCCAATGCCAATAGTTAAGACCCGGGGGAGGTCAGGTGATTTTTAGTCTTTTTTAAAAAAAATCTTCATTTAACATCATTTTTATAACGTATTAACATTCAGGCTGGACTACTGTAACTCGCTCTACATGGGGCTGCCCTTGAGATTGATCCAGAACCTTCACGGCTGGTCCAAAATGCGGCGGTGTGTGCCCTTAATGGGACACCTTTAGGAGCCCGTATACAACCAGTGCTCCGCCAGCTGCACTGGCTCCCAGTCAAATACCGGATTAAGGTCAAGGTTATGGTATTAACCTTTAAAGCCCTGTGCAGTCTGGGACCAATATATCAGCAGGACTGTCTCTCCCTGTATGTCCCTGGAAGAGCCTTATGTTCTGCTAGTGGTCCCCAGCCCAAGGACATCCGCTTAGCCTCAACTAGAGCCAGCGTTCTCCGCTCTGGCTCCAGCCTGGTGGAACACGCTCTCCCCCAAGTGAGATCAGAGCCCTGTGGGATTTGTTGCAACCCCTCGGGGCCTGTGGAACGGAGATGTTCTGCCAGGCCTACGGCTGAGGCGGCAGACGTCTAACTGCATCGGCCTCCCCTCCCCTGCTTTGCACCATTTATTTTGTACTACTGTTGTACTACTGTTTTGCCTGGTAGCTGGTTCCATCTTTGGGCACACAGACAGTCCTTTTGGGAGGACGTCACTCATTTGTACTTGACCGCCATCCTGAGTGCTATAATCTGATGCTTGCATAAGTTTTTAATACTGTGTAATTAAGTTTTATATCAGTTGTATATATCTGTTGTTAATACTGTGTAATTAAGTTTTAATTGTTTTATATCAGTTGTATATATCTGTTGTTATAACCCGCCCTGAGTCCTCCTGTGCAGTAGAGGATGGGATAAATTGGATGGGATGGGAGGGATGCGAGAAATGAGCTGAGATGAGAGATAGATAGATAGATAGATAGATAGATAGATAGATAGATAGATAGATAGATAGATAGATGATAGATGATAGAT